AGCTTCAGAAGTATGCTTGGATAAAGCTTTATTCATATCCAGAGATATTGGAGATGGAAGAAAAGAGTTTGAAATCCTCATAAGTTACGCCGTTTTGTATTTATACCAAAATAAAATAAAAGACTCCCTGTCTTGTCTTCATCTGTGCATTAAAAAGTATGAGGAGCTGAGATATTTCTTGGGTGCCAATGATCAGTTCAAAACATCATTTCTGGAGGACACAGGAATATTTCCCTACAAACTGCTTTGTACTTTGCTTTGTGACACCGGAAATGCTCCGGATGCTGTTTATGTTGAGGAGTTGGGTCGAGCTAGAGGCCTATCAGACTTAATGGCAGAGAAGTACTCGGTTGAAACACACATCTCTGCTAATCCACAATCTTGGTTTGGCATTGAGAACATTTTAAGAAAGAAAAAAAACTGTACTTGTCTGTACATTTCTTATTTTCAGAATCGTCTGCATTTGTGGATCTTGAAAACAAGTGGAGTCCTTCACTATAGAAGAGTATCACCAGAAGAGAATCTAGTTCAGGCTGGGTTACCCAAAGATTTGTCTTTGAGTCAATTTTTGGATGATAATTTCCGGAGTCTTGGTATTTTGCCCACTAAAGATTGTGAAGATCGGTCTTTAAATACGATTAAATTGCAACCTCTCTCCCCCGCGCAAAAGAGCTCAGCAAGATTGCGACTCGTGGAGGAGGACGAGGCCGAGGACGAGGACGAGAAAGTGATTTCAAGTCTATATTTGTGTTACAAAATGCTCATTGCCCCCGTTTATGATTTGCTTGATAAGCCTGAAGTCATTATTGTTCCTGACCGCAGGTTGTACAAAGTTCCCTTTGCTGCCCTGAGTGAAAGGGAAGGAGCCGAATACTTGTCAGAGACTCATAAGATCCGTATCATTCCTTCGTTGACAACACTCAAGAACATTCAAGATAGTCCAGCGGACTATCACAGCAACACTGGTGCCTTGGTAATAGGCAATCCCAAGGTTAATTGGCTGCAACCATTGCCAGCTGCAAGAAAGGAAGCGGAGATGGTCGGACGACTGGTTGGTGTTCCGCCTCTAGTTGAAAAGAAAGCAACGAAGCAGGCGGTACTTGAGCGGATAAGTTCAGTGAGCTTAATACATTTTGCTGCCCATGGTAACGCGGAAAGAGGAGAAATTGCACTCTCCCCCATTCCTACTCCCAACAGTGGAATCGCCATCCCACCGAAGGAAGCTTACATGTTGACGATGGCTGATGTCTCACGAGTGAAAGTCAGAGCTAAACTGGTGGTACTTAGCTGCTGTCACAGTGGAAGTGGAGAGATAAGAGCCGAAGGAGTTATAGGAATTGCCCGTGCGTTCTTAGGATCTGGTGCTCGCTCGGTATTGGTTGCGCTGTGGGCCATTCCAGACTCAGCAACAGAGAAGCTGATGAGTCAGTTCTACGAACACCTCATTGAAGGAGAAAGTGCCAGTGAATCCCTTCATCAGGCCATGAAGTGGATGAGAAAAAACGGCTTGAACCAAATTTCTGAGTGGGCGTCGTTTACGCTGATTGGAGATGATGTGAGACTCGAGTTTGACAAGCAGAGGTAAGACTCCGTGAGAACAGGTATTTCATAAATTAAAGTTAAATTAGAAGTGAAGATGGCTATGACTTACTGGTCGTTGACTGGATGGGGATCCTTTGTTACCTTGAGTATCAGGCTAGTTTAATGTATATCTTTATCTATATATATCTATATATATATATATATATATATATATATATCTACACACACTTGTTTTCCTTTTTGAAGAGTTACTATCCCGCTCTCTGGTGTAAAGTATAGAATCTCACAGATACCTCTCTACCAATGAGATACAAGTAATAGCCAATTATTTATATATGTTGTTGCTTGGTGTAATTGTGTTTGCTTTATATCCAAAATGTTAATTGAAGTAATAATAAATTGGGATATTTCAATTTTTTTCTTGCAGGAAAAAAGACCCCGATAGAGTAAATAATGACAAGTACTCGAAGGGAGTATAAGAATAAGTACTCGAATAAGTAGAGAAAATACTCTATCCGGTATTTCATCGACATTAAAAAAAAGAGCTATCCCAGGTTAGGGGAGATTTATTCCAATTTTTGGTGCTTTCTTTACTAATATTCTCAGGAGGAGGTAATGTTTATGTACTCAACAATTTTTTATTTTTCACGCAAAAATGATATTCTGATATAATAAGCTCGAAACAATGTTGACCTACGTAAGCCTTTTGAGTAAAACGAATTCAGTAAAGTTAAGACAGTAGTAGTACAGTTTAAGTATTAAACAAACCACTAAAATCGGGTTTAATTTTTGTATTTTCAAGCCTTTTGTAAGGAGTCGTGCCGGCCCGTAAACACTTTTTAAGTGGCATTAAGATAGCTAGGATTCGCAAAAGGAGAAGCGTTGCATATCCTAAAAATAAATCCGAAGCACTCCACATTAAAAAAAATCGTACAGAGCTTAAAAATACGACTAAAAGAGGGGAAAGAGTATACCTGACGAAGTTCTGGAGAAATGCGTGTCTGAAGTTATCTGCTCCAGTAGAGAAGGATCACTTCCGGCTTTACAAAAGCTCAAGAACACGCTGATGTGGAAATGTCACATTCAAAATCACATGGCCATAAAACATTAAAGTATATCCCGACCAGACCTGATCTTTGGAGACAGAAATTTAAAATCGCTTGCGGATGGCGGGAGTGTCATGCGGGCATGTCAATACTTCAATTTTTAACTGGTCACTTGCATCTTGTGCTATGGACCCTGCGTGAAGCAGCGAAAATATGGAAGTAATCCTGTCTTGGGATATAGAGTTCATCTGTAGTTAATTCGTAACACCCTGTAATAACAGCAAAACTAGTCGCTGGTTCCCTTTCATCAAGAGCGTTACTATTTGTAACTGGTTTTTGGCAGTTACGTCCTTAACGTTCTAGTAGAAATACATAACACTATACGTTTCAGTGGGTACTAAAGTATGTTTTTAGTTCAAAACATGCGTATCGCCAATGCATATTAACTGAAGTCTTTTAGAAGGTTTTTGAGCAACTTTAACGTTGTGGCTGAAATCCGCAAATTCGCAGGAATTTTTGACAGTGTTATCAGTATTCCCAACAACAGGCGACAAAATTCTCGCAAGATAACCAGAAATTGCATAAGTCGGAGAATTAACAAAAGGGACAATGGGTCTCAAAGGAATTCCCGGTTTATGAATTTTAGGTAAGCCATAAAAACGTGGACAAAAGCCGTCACTACTGTATAATATTTTGTACGTAGAGTCACTAATTTTACCAGCTTTTTTCAAATCAAGCAACATTTTGTTTAACTTTCTTTGAGTTTTTCTGGTAGGATCAGAGTTTAAGACAGCATACGTACTCTTGTCTTTAAGCAGAGACAAAGCTTTGTCGTGATATTGCTCTTTGTCCATAACCACAACACAATTAGTAATACCCTTGTCAGCTGATAATACGAGCCTGCCCGGATCCTTTTTGAGAGCTACAAGCGCATTGAAAACATCCTTCTAAATGTTTTTGGGAGGAGGTTTAGATCGTGACGATGGCGGTGTGCTTCCTGACGCCTATTTACAGTTCGTCAGAGAAAAAAAAAAAAAAAAGCCGCTAATTAGTGATCATATAAAAGGACCTCTAGTTACAGCGTCTAATACGTTGAAGCAGAGCAGAATAAATATTATTAGAGGAAAAAACGACGCAACTACATATCCCGACAAGCCTGTTTCGTGAATCGCTTCACTCTTCAGGGGTTTAAACCCCTGAAGAGTGAAGCGATTCACGAAACAGGCTTGTCGGGATATGTAGTTGCGTCGTTTTTTCCTCTCATAATATTTATATATATATATAGATAAAGATAAAGATACACATTAAACTAGCCTGATGCTCAAGGTAACAAAGGATCCTCATCCAGTCAACGACCAAAAAGTCATAGCCATCTTCACATCTAATTTAACTTTAATTTATGAAATACCTGTTCTCACTGAGTCTTGCCGCTGCTTGTCAAACTCGAGTCTCACATCATCTCCAATCAGCGTAAACGACGCCCACTCAGACATTTTGTTCAAGCCGTTTTTTCTCATCCACTTCATGGCCTGATGAAGGGATTCACTGGCACTTTCTCCCTCAATGAGGTGTTCCTAAAACCGACCCATCAGCTTCTCTGTAGCTAAGTCTGGAATGACCCACAGCCCTACCAATACAGAGCGAGCACCAGATCCTAAGAACGCACGGGCAATTCCTATAACTCCTTCGGCTCTTATCTCTCCACTTCCACTGTGACAGCAGCTAAGTACCACCAGTTTAGCTCTGACTTTCACTCGTGAGACATCAGCCATCGTCAACATGTAAGCTTCCTTCGGTGGGATGGCGATTCCACTGTTGGGAGTAGGAATGGGGGAGAGTGCAATTTCTCCTCTTTCCGCGTTACCATGGGCAGCAAAATGTATTAAGCTCACTGAACTTATCCGCTCAAGTACCGCCTGCTTCGTTGCTTTCTCTTCAACTAGACGTGGAACACCCACCAGTTGTCCGACCATCTCCGCTTCTTTTCTTGCACCTGACAATGGTTGCAGCCCATCAACCTAATGACTTCAGACTCCTCAAGAAAATCATTAACGGGAGCAATAAACATTTTGTAACACAAAGATAGACTTGAAATCACTTTCTCGTCCTCGTCCTCGTCCTCCTCCACGAGTCGCAATCTTGCTGAGCTCTTTTGTGCGGGGGAGAGAGGTTGCAGTTTAATCGTATTTAAAAACCGATCTTCACAATCTTTAGTAGGCAAAATACCAAGACTCCGGAAATTATCATCCAAAAATTGACTTAAAGACAAATCTTTGGGCAACCCAGCCTGAACTAGATTCTCTTCTGGTGATACTCTTCTATAGTGAAGGACTCCACTTGTTTTCAAGATCCACAAATGCAGACGATTCTGAAAATAAGAAATGTACAGATAAGTACAGTTATTTTTCTTTCTTAAATGTTCTCAATGCCAACCCAAGATTGTGGATTAGCAGAGATGTGCGTTTCAACCGAGTACTTCTCTGCCATTAAGTCTGATAGGCCTCTAGCTCGACCCAACTCCTCAACATAAAGAGCATCCCGAGCATTTCCGGTGTCACAAAGCAAAGTACAAAGCAGTTTGTAGGGGAACATCCCTGTGAGCTCCAGAAATGATGTTTTGAACTGATCATTGGCGCCCAAGAAATATCTCAGCTCCTCATACTTTCCAATGCACAAATAAAGACACAACAAGGAGTCTTTGATTTTATATTGATATAAATACAAAACGGCGTAACCTAGAAGGATATCAAACTCTTTTCTTCCATCTCCAATATCTCTAAATATCAATAAAGCTTTCTCCAAGCATACTTCCGAAGCTTCAAAATCACCAACAGTTCTAAACACAATTCCAAGGTTTCCGTAGTCAGTTGCCTCTCCTTCTCTGTAGCCAATTTCAGTTCTGATGACAAGCGCTTTTTGGTGATACTCTTCAGCCTTGTCGTATTGGCCAAGCGACCCAAACACTGTACCTAGGTTTCCATAACATGATGCTTCCCCTCCTCTGTCGCCAATTTCAGTTCTAATGACAAGCGCTTTTTGGAGATACTCTTCAGCCTTGTCGTATTGACCAAGCGACTCAAACACAGTACCTTGGTTTCCATAACATGATGCTTCCTTTGGTCTGTTACCAATTTCATTTGTGATGACAAGCGCTTTTTGGAGATATTCTTCAGCCTTGTCGTATTGGCCAAGCGACTTAAACACAGTACCTTGGTTTGCGTAGTCAGTTGCCTCCCCTTCTCTGTCGCCAATTTCAGTTGTGATGACAAGCGCTTTTTGGAGATATTCTTCGGCCTTGTCGTATTGGCCAAGCGACTTAAACATAGTACCTAGGTTTCCATAACATGATGCCTCCCCTCCTCTGTCGCCAATTTCAGTTCTGATGACAAGCGCTTTTTGGTGATATTCTTCAGCCTTGTCGTATTGGTCAAGCAACCCAAACACAGTACCTAGGTTTCCATAACATGATGCCTCCCCTGCTCTGTCGCCAATTTCAGTTCTGATCACAAGCGATTTTTGGAGATATTCTTCAGCCATGTCGTATTGGATAAGCGACCCAAACACAGTACCTAGGTGTCCGTAGTCAGTTGCCTCCCCTTCTCTGTCGCCAATTTCAGTTCTGATGACAAGTGCTTTTTGGTGATATTCTTCAGCCTTGTCGTATTGGCCAAGCGACTTAAACACATTATCTAGGTTTTCATAACATGATGCTTCCCCTCCTCTGTCGCCAATTTCGGTTCTGATGACAAGCGCTTTTTGGAGATACTCTTCAGCCTTGTCGTATTGGCCAAGCAACTCAAACACAGAGCCTAGGTTTCCATAACATGATGCCTCCCCTGTTGAAGTCCTAAATGTAATAACTGTCCTAAATGTAATAAAGTCCTAAATGTAATAACATTTGGTCCTAAATGTAATAAAGCCCTAAATGTAATAACGTTAGGTCCTAAATGTAATAAGCCTCCTTCAATAACATTGAGATGTTAAAGTGACAGCTATTGCACCAAAGAATCCTCTGACCTGTATTCATGGCATATTGCGGGCTCGCTGATATTAATCAGGGTCTTTTTATTTGCTAAAGACGTAGGTTGAGAAGCATTGGCTACAAAACCTTATACTGATGTGCTTTTGGCATCAAATTGACGGACGCAAAAGCAATGACAACGCTGATCAATAGCTCTCTTTATATCATGGGCTCAGACTCTTAATTAAGTGTAATAGATTTTGACGATATACTTGTGTGATCAGTGCTGGAGTTAACACTTCATGAACCAAATTACAAGGAAAAGGAAGTCCACTGACCTATACGTTAGACAAATTCCGGGCTCGTAAGTGCATTTTTTGTACTGTCTTTCCTTACCAGATTTGTATGGGTCTGCATAAAACATATTCATAAGTGTTATTGACCAAGCGTGAGGTCAAAATGGCTGGATATTGGGCGAGTTCTTTTTTTTTTTTTTTTTTTTTTTTTTGCGAGACGAAGTCTCGGTCCGTAAAAAAGGTAAAAAAAGAACGAGGCTAACATCCAGTCATCTTGACCGGACAAGCTTGGTCAAGAGAGTTTGTATTCTCTTGGCTTAATCATTAAAGGATTCATTGTATAGAAAAAGATCTCGCTTTGATAAGAATCAAGAATGGCTTGTTTATTTCGAGAACCGATAGTGAAAGCCAACTGTGTTTGCAACACAATAAACCCAAGAGGGTCGTTTATTTTTTTTCTATGTATATGCCGAAATTGTCCAAAAGTTACGAACTTTGTAAGTTTTCTTGCGTGGGGTCAATACGGGGAATCCAAAGCGGGTGAGGGTAGGCCCATCATGCCCGCTCAGGTAGCCAGTCAGAACACAGGATTCACTTCATCTTGCTCGCGCGCGCTGCTAGCTATATGATAAAGTGACTTACAGAGCAAGATATCTACTGACCAATCATATATTATTCCATTTCACGATCACAGGTCTCGACATGTTGCCTTTTTTCCACGCAAGAGCATTGAGCTACAACATTTAACGCATGATGGTCAGTTGATGGTCTGATAAACCATTCATTTTTTTCCTTTATCCCCTTATGACAGGTTCATCAGTTCCCGAACCGAAATATTGGGAAAACATATATTTTACAGTTGATCTCAAGTCTACATTTCATTTTTTGACTTCATCTCTTCTCCCTGCCGTGAGGGGAGAAAATGAATAGATAAATAGATGAATGAAAAAGGAAAGCTCAACAGTTTCCATTTATAGTCATATGGTACATGAACTGATTACTGAGGTGGAGTAAAGCCATAGAGGGCTACAAATGCAATATCCCAGGTTCAAAATTGAATAAATCAAGGTAGTCATTCTTAAAAACGAACTCAAATGCTTCATTAAAATCAATTGACACGGAATAACATAGATGTGCAAAATTTCAGTAACACTATTGATGATAACACTTTTCTTTTGGATTAACATGTGACAGCGAAATCATTCAGACTGCTCTAAAATGGTGCATCAGTACTTAGGACTTTCACACGAACGATAACATCAACAATAACATGCTAGTTCATCATCAATTGTAGTAAATTTCTTTTCCAAAAAGTCCTAATGATTACGTACCAATCGATTCCATCCTATTGAGCTTCCAGCCAAGCACAAGCCTACTTTAGGCTGGAAATAATTTTTTCCAACTCGATCAATAAACCGCTCAAAGGACCATACTTCGACTGCTGATATTTCTTATGTCCAGCAAGTAAAAGGACGCCCATTGATATCAGCGAGCCCGTAGTGTGATATGTATACTGGTCAGCGGTTTTTTGGTGCAACAGCTGCCACTTTAACATATCAAGGTGGATGTCCGCCATAACAATAATGCACTGAAGGAGTTAAACGATTGCATTAGAGGCTTATTACATTTAGAACTAAATGTTATTACATTTAGGACTTTATTACATTTAGGACCAAATGTTATTACATTTAGGACTTTATTACATTTAGGACAGTTATTACATTTAGGCCTTCAACATCTCCTCCTCTGTCGCCAATTTCAGTTGTGATGACAAGCGCTTTTTGGAGATATTCTTCAGCCTTGTCGTATTGGCCAAGCGACTCAAACACAGTACCCAGGTTTCCATAACATGATGCTTCCCCTCCTCTGTCGCCAATCTCAGTCTTGATGAGAAGCGCTTTTTGGAGATATTCTTCAGCCTTGTCGTATTGGCCAAGCGACCCAAACACAGTACCTAGGTTTCCATAACATGATGCCTCCCTGCTCTGTCGCCAATTTCAGTTCTGATCACAAGCGATTTTTGGAGATATTCTTCAGCCATGTCGTATTGAATAAGCGACCCAAAGACAGTACCTAGGTGTCCGTAGTCAGTTGCCTCCCCTTCTCTGTCGCCAATTTCAGTTTTGATGACAAGCGCTTTTTGGTGATATTCTTTAGCCTTGTCGTATTGGCCAAGCGACTTAAACACAGTGCCTAGGTTTCCATAAGATGATGCTTCCCCTCCTCTGTCGCCAATTTCGGTTCCGATGACAAGCGCTTTTTGGAGATATTCTTCAGCCTTGTCGTATTGGCCAAGTGACTTAAACACAGTACCTAGGTTTCCATAACATGATGCTTCCTTTGGTCTGTTGCCAATTTCAGTTGTGATGACAAGCGCTTTTTGGAGATACTCTTCAGCCTTGTCGTATTGGCCAAGCGACTTAAACACAGTACCTAGGTTTCCATAACATGATGCCTCCCCTTCTCTGTCGCCAATTTCAGTTTTGATGACAAGCGCTTTTTGGTGATATTCTTTAGCCTTGTCGTATTGGCCAAGCGACTTAAACACAGTACCTAGGTTTCCATAAGATGATGCTTCCCCTCCTCTGTCGCCAATTTCGGTTCCGATGACAAGCGCTTTTTGGAGATATTCTTCAGCCTTGTCGTATTGGCCAAGTGACTTAAACACAGTACCTAGGTTTCCATAACATGATGCTTCCTTTGGTCTGTTGCCAATTTCAGTTGTGATGACAAGCGCTTTTTGGAGATACTCTTCAGCCTTGTCGTATTGGCCAAGCGACTTAAACACAGTACCTAGGTTTCCATAACATGATGCCTCCCCTTCTCTGTCGCCAATTTCAGTTTTGATGACAAGCGCTTTTTGGTGATATTCTTTAGCCTTGTCGTATTGGCCAAGCGACTTAAACACAGTACCTAGGTTTCCATAAGATGATGCTTCCCCTCCTCTGTCGCCAATTTCGGTTCCGATGACAAGCGCTTTTTGGAGATATTCTTCAGCCATGTCGTATTGAATAAGCGACCCAAAGACAGTACCTAGGTGTCCGTAGTCAGTTGCCTCCCCTTCTCTGTCTTCAATTTCAGTTGTGATGACAAGCGCTTTTTGGAGATATTCTTCAGCCTTGTCGTATTGGCCAAGTGACTTAAACACAGTACCTAGGTTTCCATAACATGATGCTTCCTTTGGTCTGTTGCCAATTTCAGTTGTGATGACAAGCGCTTTTTGGAGATACTCTTCAGCCTTGTCGTATTGGCCAAGCGACTTAAACACAGTACCTAGGTTTCCATAACATGATGCCTCCCCTGCTCTGTCGCCAATTTCAGTTCTGATCACAAGCGATTTTTGGAGATATTCTTCAGCCATGTCGTATTGAATAAGCGACCCATAGACAGTACCTAGGTGCCCGTAGTCAGTTGCCTCCCCTTCTCTGTCGCCAATTTCAGTTTTGATGACAAGCGCTTTTTGGTGATATTCTTTAGCCTTGTCGTATTGGCAAAGCGACTTAAACACAGTACCTAGGTTTCCATAAGATGATGCTTCCCCTCCTCTGTCGCCAATTTCGGTTCCGATGACAAGCGCTTTTTGGAGATATTCTTCAGCCTTGTCGTATTGGCCAAGCGACTTAAACACAGTACCTAGGTTTCCATAACATGATGCTTCCTTTTGTCTGTTGCCAATTTCAGTTGTGATGACAAGCGCTTTTTGGAGATATTCTTCAGCCTTGTCGTATTGGCCAAGCGACTTAAACACAGTACCTAGGTTTCCATAACATGATGCTTCCTTTTGTCTGTCGCCAATTTCAGTTGTGATGACAAGTGCTTTTTGGTGGTATTCTTTAGCTTTGTAGTATTGGCCGAGCGACTTAAACACAGTACCTAGGTTTCCATAAGATGATGCTTCCCCTCCTCTGTCGCCAATTTCGGTTCTGATGACAAGCGCTTTTTGGAGATATTCTTCAGCCTTGTCGTATTGGCCAAGCGACTTAAACACAGTACCTAGGTTTCCATAAGATGATGCTTCCTTTGGTCTGTTGCCAATTTCAGTCGTGATGACAAGCGCTTTTTGGAGATATTCTTCAGGCTTGTCGTATTGACCAAGCGACTTAAACACAGTACCTAGGTTTCCATAAGATGATGCTTCCCCTCCTCAGTCGCCAATTTCGGTTCTGATGACGAGCGCTTTTTGGAGATATTCTTCAGCCTTGTCGTATTGGCCAAGCGACTTAAACACAGTACCTAGGTTTCCATAACATGATGCTTCCTTTGGTCTGTTGTCAATTTCAGTTGTGATGACAAGCGCTTTTTGGAGATACTCTTTAGCCTTGTCGTATTGGCAAAGCGACTTAAACACAGTACCTAGGTTTCCATAACATGATGCTTCCTTGGGTCTGTTGCCAATTTCAGTTGTGATGACAACCGCTTTTTGGAGATATTCTTCAGCCTTGTCATATTGGCCAAACGACTTAAACACAGTACCTAGGTTTCCATAAAATGATGCTTCCTTTTGTCTGTCGCCAATTTCAGTTGTGATGACAAGCGCTTTTTGGTGATATTCTTTAGCCTTGTCGTATTGGCCAAGCGACTTAAACACAGTACCTAGGTTTTCCATAGCATGATGCCTCACCTCCTCTGTCGCCAATTTCAGTTCTGATGACAAGCGCTTTCTGGAGATACTCTTCAGCCTTGTCGTATTGGCCAAGTGACTCAAACACAGTACCTAAGTTTCCATAACATGATGCCTCTCCGCTTCTGTCGCCAATTTTGGTTGTTATGGCAAGGGCCCTCTCAACATATTCCTTAGCTTTAAGGCTTTCGCCAAGTTTATAAAGCATAATTCCATACTCTCTGTATAAGTCAAACAGTTTCCTTCCGTATCTTTCTGCACTTATGTAGTCGGAGATATGACGATAAGCGCTGAAAAGAACGGTGTAGATGTCGTTGTAAAATTGTAGCAGTGCTGAATCAAATTGGTCTTTGCTGTTTGATCGGTGCCATTTAGCAAAATCAAACATTCGCTGCATATCTCAATGGCTTTCTGAATGCGATCTGAGTTGAGCAAGAACAGGGCAATAAATAAGGCGATGCTCATGAAAGGTGTCATGGCCTCTGCTGTTAGGTTTCCATTGCAATCCTCTCCTGTTATCAGGGAAACATTATTTTTAGTAACACAATACTAAACAAAAAAAGAAAAAAAAAAGAAAAAAAGAAAACGGACGGATGGATCGGTAATTTACTCGAACATAACCGCATCACTGGTCTTACCTTTGAAGACGTCCAATCTAGTAATAATCCAGTGACTGAAATATGGCAACAAGCAAATGACATCAGAGATAGGAGGTGGCTTGACTTTCAGTCAATAGTCATACTTAATAGTACTTCATATTTCTTTTGAGGAAGGGAGAGGTGGGGGATGAGTTTCGGTTTTGTACGTCACACTTTTGTGACCGTGACGAGTCACTTCAAACAGGAACACACATGTTAAGTTACAAAAACGGGCTGGGTCGATTACACCCGGAAAGTATTTGTAACAAGCTGAAAGTATTAGAATTCCCAATATCCACGTAAAAACAAAAAAAAAAAGTGAAGAAGTCGGTTGGTCACCTTTCAAAAAAATTAATTTCTAAGAGTTTTTGTTGTAATATTCAGTTTTTTCTATCTTTGTTCACATTTTACTTAAGTGATAGACAGTTGTGCCTGACTTAAACTACACTCATATTTGAAAATCATTTGATATCAAGCTTAGAGGTCGTTTCAAAAAGTTTCATTGTTACTAGGAATTTGTAACAGAATTTGTGATCCAACTAAAAATAAAATATAAGTTCTAGTTTCTCCATTCTTAGTTTATTAATTTTGTTATACCGGCTGTCAAAAGGTATTTGCAATACAGAGCCTTGGAATCACTGAATTTTATTTCTTATTCATGAATAATACAAGAATGATTAATGAGAAAATTGCTCTTTTGAGAACTATTCGACAGTTTAAATAATGTACCGTCCAAAGTGTTTGTACTGGAAATTCTCTCGCTCGATTTTATTTAAACATCGTTCTTTTGGTTCATTACCGTTTTGTTAAAGTGCAAAAGAGATAGTCACAGATGTAAGTTAGTGATAATTTTACTTTGAGTACTGATTCCGAGTTAGCATTCCCCGACTTTTAAGCGTTTAAATTTTTAGCCTGAAATAAGACAGATAAACCTCTAAATACAGTTTACTTGGAACTTTCCTGACATTCCACAATATTTAAAAATCGCAAAGATTGTTCATTTTAAAAGCAACGAGCGCATTTATTAGATGAATGTCCCTGAAAACGAATATTTTCTTAGCAGATGAGGATCATTAATAAGATGCGAGACCACAAAGGTTTGATATGATCGCCTTATAACAAATTCATTTAACTTCGGTGGCGAATTTTACACAACGTTACAGTACTTTAAAGTGACAGGACAAATATTAACCGGGAAAACAGGACTGATTCATTCCAGGCTTTGCCATTAATTAAAATGTTACTCATGCAAAGTTACTCTAAATAACAATATTCTAGTGCTATTTACTTGGTACATGACAGAATGCTGGATGTCTTTTTACTTGTTCTTACCAAGTTGTCGACTTCGTGGTTGATGCTTTTGAAAGTGAAACGACAGAAAATGCTTAAATGAAAGACAGTTGTGACTTTTCCTTATTTTCCAAAACCTCCGCCTCTTGACTTACCTTGACCGCGACTATTTTGTGATTCAGGTAAGAACACAAACTTTGCAAATCAATGATTTTTCATCGCGAGTATTCAAAGAAGCAAGCAAGGAATGTTATCAGTATAATATCTAGTTTCCCTTTTAGTTTTTCGTTTTTTTTCTTTTATTTCGATCGCCAAAACGTTTATGTAATGAGACTCCTTAGGATCAAGCATCCTAATTTCTTGTTCATGAATAATACAAAATCGTTGTTTGTATTTTGACTCGCCTTACGAGCTCGTCAAATACGGACACAACTCGTAAAAATACTCAGCGACACTACACACCAAAACCTCCAATAAGTTATTTATTATCCAACTGCTTTTTTTTTCTGCTGAGTCTTTCAGCTCATTCCTCATAAGGCGGGAAAAGCAAAGCGGAGAGAGAGGCGTATTGTGCGCAGCCGACTGGTAAGCCAGGTTTTTTTTCAGCACAAAGTAACCAACGGTCCAAATACACGTATAATATCGTAGGATGTTTATACTCTATTCGCGCCTTATTTGTTCTCTACTTTGTGCAGTTGGATAATAAACCTCAGTACTACAGTGTTCTGGAAACTTTCCTGACATTCCGCAATATGGAAAATTTGAAAAGATTGTTCTAGCAGTTTATTACCAAGAAATGAGCTTACTTATCATGCCAGTGTCGCTAAAATCAAACCTTTTCATAGTTCATGAGGATGATTGGTAAGATGTGAAGCCATAAAGGTTTAACGAAGTCGCTTTGAAACAAATAAATTTCACTTTGGCTGCGATTTTTGCATTACATTGCATGACTTGATAGGCACAGGACAAATATTAACAAAACAGCATTCATTTTAGGCTTTGCCATTAAAACGTTCCCCATGCAAAGTTACTCAAAATAACAGTAGACCATTACTAATTCATTTGTAGATGATAGAAAGCTGTCTACACCTGTATTTAACATGTCTACTCGTACTCACCAAGTTGTTGACTTCGTAGTGGATGCTTTTGAAAGTGAAAGGACAAAAACAATGAAACACAATCGGGACTTTCCCTACATTCCAAAACATCCGCAGTTGAACAACAATTACCGTGATTTAAATACATGACTTTCATATATTCACAGTCGTTTAATTACCGTTACTGTTTTGTTATTCAGATGAGAACACAAACGTTCATAACATCCTGAGGGTACATTTTTTAGATGTTAAAACCATTCTTCACGATTCTTTCTTTTTAAACACCTAAAATCATTTGTTAGTAAACCTTTAGCTGACAGTTTGATATAAATCTAATTCACAAAAGTTTGCGTGATGGCCGGCATGTTAACTTTGCCTTTGAATGATCAATTTCCTTTAGTTCCTTACAGAGAATTATAACATCTTTCTTCGTGAGCACGCGGTGTCAGATATTGACCTCTCTTCTATCAGTTTCCCAAATTATACAATGCTTAACAATCTTAGCTGATGAGGTTGAAATATACCGTATGAAGCCATAAAGGTTTGAAGAAAGCAATTAACCGGTGGAGATACGAAGCATCCGTTCAACGGAAAAGTACGCTAAAACTATAAATGCAATAATAGTAAATTTAAGAAAGTTTCAGTGTTTCTAAGAAAATTAAAACATCTCTCTTCGTGAGCGCGCAGCGTCACTACTTATCTTCTTATGCCAGAC